TGTTTTTAGGATTTCTCTAATTAATTTAACATGCTTAATATTGTTAAAAGGTGAACTTGTAGGAATTTTCGTGATAAATCGGTGATAGTGTTAACTCCGAAAATTCTACAGTAAATTACTAATATTATTAGCTACTCACTGTAATTTTTGTAGCTCCAGAATAATTAGTTGCTAGATAAATAATGATGCCCTATTTCGAATAAGGATTAAATTGATAGAATGAAATAAGGAAACAACTTGAGTTTGTATAACTAAAACATTTGTGGGAAATAACGCCTTATTCGACAATATGGATATGTAGCTTAAGTACGGTCGTCGTTAGAACTAGCTCGTTAACTTGAAAGGCGTAAATCGTATTTTTATGAGTCACGATTACAGTCGATTAATTACGTCTTTACATTGCATCGCATTGCATATCATATAGGTATGATGCTGGATCAACTAATCAAGTGAAGGATGAGTGGGAATTTAAAGATGGTGTAATGGTATTCTCCCCAGGAGATGATGCATTGATCTTTCTATTCAGTTGATGGTGGATGATCTGAAGATGTAGATACTAACTTTTTAATGTATAACCCCTACTTTTTTGCACTTTAAATTATATTTATGTATTAAGTTTTAAAGAGTTGAATGAAACCCACTTGCATATATATTTCTTTATCCTATAAGTCTTACTAGTATGACAGGATCGTGTAGATTGCTATACTACAAGACTTTGGTAGAAGTCGAGTGATTGCTTGTCACTCGCAAGAGATAGGAAATATATTACTGTATTATTATCACTTGGAATATATAAAATGGTGGAAAGGAAAATGGTGACCGGATAGGAATATGGTTTGGGTATTGGTGGGTGTAAGAGGTTGTGTCCTGTCGCCTCGGGACATAGCTTGGTTACACTGCTTTCCCTGTCTGTGTCGGTTAAGGACCGACCATTGCATTGGGCTCTAGGCAGGTCACAGACTTATTATCCCGAGCATATACTTGGGTATGTGCGTAGGGAAGACTTGTTACTCTCTTATCATGGGTTCCGGCTCTTTCCGGACCGACTGTCGGGGTGGTTTTTGGGTATTGGAGATCCTTGCACCGCACTGAGTCCAGTACTCAGGGGCGGGGGCTTGGAGTCCCAGTTTGGACGAGGACCTGGACCCCGTGATAGGAGGGTAGTGAGTTGGTCTTGCTTGTGCCTAGGGTACAAGCGGGTGTGTGTTTTTGGGGTACCCAGCTGGGGGCATTGATTCGCGAATCGTCGGCGTTCCAGTACGGCTTGTCTACGGTCTAACACCGTAGTAAGAACTGAAAGTTGAAAGATGGAAAAAGGAAATCTGATTGCTTACCACATGCTTGAAAGTAGCATAAGTGCTCACATAGAATGGTTGGTTAATGAACTAATGTGACTGTTAATAAAAATCAAATATAAGAACGCACGCTTAGTAATGCTTCCTGCAGATGCAATAAACCCACAAGCCAGATAGCCTTGCATATCTTTGGAGTCTTTTCTTTCCTCTTGTTAGATAAGTCTTACTGAGTACAATTGAGTACTTAGGGTTTTATCTCCCCCCTGTGGTAGGTGATAGGTGGATGCTAAAGCTGTCCTTTATGTGTAGATTCCTCCTAGTGGGCTCAGAGAGGATTTTCTTTACGCTGCAATCATAGTTTTTATTTATAACTCTCACTAAATGTTTTTCTAAATAAAAGTTTTATAGTCTGTTGTCATAGTTTACATATCAATGCTTCATCATGTCGTGAATAGATAATTATTTCCGCTGTAATTCTGATCACATGTTTATATTCCGCTGTCAAATTAAGTTGTTCATAACTCTGATAACATGATAATATTCTGCTATTATCCATAGTAAAAATTATACTCTGATGTTGTATTAAAAGTGAGGTAAGAAATGGTTTAAGAATGTTGTAAGCTTTATTCTTTCATTGGTGATCCTGATGGAAAACTGTGAATTTTCCAGTTCTCCCTTGTGGTGTGCTCGACAGAACCGAGTAATTTAGTGTTCTCCCTTGGGTACTTAGTGTTTAATGGAGATGAGTACTCCTAGGAGGCATTAGATTAGGCGGTTCTACCATAGCTTGGCCCAATCATCGGCTTGCGGCCCACCAGGCACATCTGCCGCCACCTGCTTCCCCAAACCCTAGGAATGGAACACTCCTAGGCAGGAGCCGTTGCCACCATGCCCTATGCCTAGGCATTCGTGCCTCCTCTCCTCCAGATGATGTGTGACGTGATTGGCCATCCCATCCGAGGGCATGGACATCGGGATGACGACACAAACTCTAGTCGTTCGAGATATAAAAGCCGCAGCCCTCGCTCGTCCTTCTTCTACCTCAGGTAGCCACCGCCACCTCTAGAGCGCAGCTGTTGCTTCTCTCTGCGACCGCCACCACTCGACTACTACCAAGGTCACCGTGCGCCTCGCCGCCCACAACCACGCCGAAGCCCTGGCCAGGGACACAGTAGCCAATGCCTTCTTCGTCGAACCCTGCTACCACCGACAATGTCGACCTGTTCGTGACACCGACAATGCAATGTGAGGTCTTGGATGGTGTAGCTCGCTAATTGGTTAAGAACCATGTATCCGTGGTAGCAAGTCATGAACATACTTGTACAAAACCACTTGTCATATATGGCGTGACAAGCTAAGTACTTGATTGTGACAGTTTTTTTCATGGATTCAACACGGGGGTGATGTAAGGTAGATGAGACGTCATTACCTTGGTACCTTTCAAACCGTTCGTAGGCATCCATGGCCAGGTTGGGGAAAGGTTGAGACACTGAGTTATCCCTTATGAACCTATGTGTCATATGGGCTATATCTCTTGTCTTTAGCGGGGTTAATGTGTACCTCTCTGCAGAGTTTCTCTTTCAAATGTTATAAGTTCTGTACTTCTAGATATGGACTAGAGTTGAACAAGAACTCATGGAAGATCGAGATCCAAATGCAAGTTGCTCATTTACTTAAACCATGCTATGCTTGTTGATGTTTAGTATAAGATTCACATTTACATTCTAGTATAAAATGCCTTTATGCAAAAACCAAATGCATTCCTTGCTACTAACTAAATGCATTATTCTTATTTACTATATTGGGTAAGTCCTACATAGTACAATTAAGTACTCACCCTGTGATTGTTTGTCTTGTAGTTGCAGGTAACGTTACCCTAGCGTATGGTTTCTTCTACGCCCTCGAGTCCTAGGAGGACCAGGAGTGGTAGACAGACCAATGTCTCGTAAATGTGTGGAAAGTGCACACCCACACATTGTTATCTTTGAAAACTATGCTGATGAAAGACTTTCGCCACTCTGATGTTGTTTAGTTTGAATGTGTGTACTTTGAGTGTGATGAATTAAGTTTGAACCAATGGCTTGTAAACTGAGTATCTTGTGATGTAATATGACCTAGCTATGATGTGTGATGTTTCCTTTCGTTTGCCTGATCCTAAATGAACGTCGGAGATAGTACATCATGTGGGTGGTGTACCAAGATAACCAATTAAGTGATATGTCTAACATAATAGTCAGTGCAAATTAAAAGGGAGGTGATGCTGACAAAAGCTATGGTATCAGTTCCACGCAAAATGAGTCATCCTTGTTTTTTAGTACCTACACAAAAAATACAAGACTTTTGGAAGTCTCTAACTCCTTTTATCCATAAGGAGATGATCGCCACCCTATTCGACACAACAAAGAAACCTGACACAACAATGTGTCTGGTCGGACTGCTCATGATTTTTGATCCATGACCCAACGTAACTAAAAATGACTCAACCCAAGGTTACAAAACAAAAAAAACTCGAGAAATAGGCTGATCTAATCGGCTAGTGCGTCGGGTTGGGCTCGAGCTAAAGATTTTGACCCAAGATTTTTCTCTGGCCCAACTTGAACTCGATATGATTAGATCTAGACACGATATGTCCGATGAGTCACACCAATATGTTACATGTTATGCAACATCTTTAGCGTTATTATGGGCCTGTTTGGGACTGCTCCACAAACGTGGAGCAGCTTCAAAAAAATAGAGTTTTTAGAGCATCTTTTTAGGTGCTTCCGTAACTCCATCTTTTTTACTGGAGTAGAGTTTGTGAAGTTATACTTGTTTTTAGCTAAAAAAAATATGTGGAGCAGAAGTGAAAAACATGGGCAGTCCAAAATAGAAGTAAAAGGGTTAAGGTCCCTTTGGAACCGAGGTGAATCACCGGAAAAATGTAGGATTCCAATTCTTAAGGATTCAGTCCATGTAAAGCCTTTGGTTTATTGGAATAGAGCACAGGAAACTAAAGAAAAATTCATTTGCCTCTGATTCCATAAGAAAAGCATAGAAGGAAAAAAGAATCCACTCATACCGCATGGAAAGTCTCTGCAATTGGTGATTGCCTAGGTTGAATAAGAAGTAACATGAATTTGCCCTTTAAGATTCCTTTAGAATTTCCTAGTTTTTCTTGTACCCAGCTAAACACATGCAGCCTGTTCGGGAGGCCGTATCGTATCGTGGATTATTTACTGCTGGCTGGTTTGGTGTGAGAGAAAAATACTGTTCTCGGCTGAAAATTTACGATCGTTTACGAGCAAGCGAACAGGCTGATGATCCTACATAGTACCTTTGTTTTCAATTGCTTAGGATTGCATATGTAATTCTGTACTATTTCTGTATTTTTCTATTCTAGTGACTAGTGATGTGACAAACATTTAGCTTGGGACGTTGTATTACTAAATTATTAGGAACTTTTTTGTTAAAATGAAAGAAATCCACCGGATCTGCCGGCCGATCCCGACCACTCGTTCCTCCCCTACTCCTCTTTATTTGGTTGATGATTCACATATTTTGCCCTCCCCACCCGTGCCACCCCCCGCCCCTCGTACCGCACCCAGAAGCTAGGTTTTAGCTGCCGCCTTCTCCCTTTTCGCCGCGGCGGCCGCAAGCACCGACCTTCTCCCCGAAGAAGCCCCAAGCAAGCGGCCCCCGCTTCCTCTCGGCGCCAGATCGTTGTTTATGAGGTACGGATCGGCCCTGGATCTTTGCTTCTGCTTCTCGTAGCGCCGTGCCTAGCGGATCTGTAGAGCCTGTCGCGGCAGCTCGATCGATGGGGAGCCGGATTTTTGGTTGATCGGAGCTTAGGTGGTGGACTTTGGGTTGTTGGAAGTTAGGGTTTTGAGCGGATTCGGCGCGAGGGTCGGTTCGATAGGTGCATGATGATGGTTGCTGGAGGTCGATTTGGGTTGTTGGAAGTTAAATTTGGAGTGGATTCAGCGTCAGGGAAGGTTGGATCGAGCTGATGTTATTGTAGCCGGCTCGGTTCGTGATATTTGATGTTTTGCTTTGGGTAAATTATGGTTGCTTGATATAAGTAGTTTGAGGCCCTGGGTGAACAAGCTGTTTTGGTGTTGGTTCTTCGATGTCTTGCAATAAGATCTGACAATTAGTTGTTTTTTTCATTTGTCTGGCGAAGTTCAGTTACTTTTGTATGACAATTAGTTGTTTTTTTTGCATTGATCTGATAAAGTGCTAGATCTTCTAATTTTGCATGGTTGACTGGTCTGCTTATACATTATACAATCCAGTCTTGAAGATCTGGTTAAAAAGGTGGGTGCCTTCAAATATCGTAGGATTTGGAATGTTGAGTTGGTAGTATCATGTGGCCATTTGATGTTATTGAATTTCTTCAGTGTGGTACAGGAAAATAAAAAGTTTGTTAAAGCAGGATTTTTTCGATGAACTCATTTTAATCTTTGAGTCAACAAATGAACTGAATTGTAAAAGTTTTGATAACAGTAGCATAGCTGTCGTGATTTATTTGTAGTAAACAGAGTGTTCTTTTTAGGTGGTCCATGTTACAGGTTTTAACTTCTATCCTCTTCTTTTTGGTGCAGCTCGAAGGAGAAGCCCACTCTTGGGTAAGACTGTGCTTATACGATTACTGAAATGTGACTTCAGTTTCCATGTTGGTCTTAAACTAGTTGGACATGTTAATAATAATTTTGGTTTGGTCAAATGTTCCCATGAGTTAGTGATTTTCCAACTGACGTCCCTGTTTAGCAATGCTTCTTTTTTCTAACTGTTGAATGGAGTGGCATGTATTTATTATTAAATACTCCCTCCGTTCCAAGTTACAAGTCGTTTTGGCTATTCTAGGTACATAAATCTTGCTATGCACCTAGATATATATTATGTCTAGATACATAGCAAAAACAATGTACCTAGAAAAGCTAAAACGACTTATAATTTAGAATGGAGGGAGTACAAAGAAACTTAACATGTATGTGTGAAATGGCATGCCTCAATTTTCCTGCATGGATTCAATATTGTTGAAAGGCGTGACTTTTGTAATTTTCTTGACACATTTTGTGTTAATTGTTGTGCCTGTTCTATTTATATATTACATTAATATTATGATTATTGATATTACTGCAATAGAAGCAATTGCAGCATTCTGTTGACTGTCCTTTCTGTGTTGAGACTACCTTCTGTTGCAAATTTTCAGTTAAGCTTGCCAAGGTTCTTTATTCAGGCATGAAATTTGTTTGTCATTGTTATACTTGCAGTTCCTGCTACCAATGATTCTACTATTATGCTTGCTGTTACTAATACCTTTCTTTGCTATTTTATCACTTCCTTTTATCATGGGCTTCATCTTTAGTGCACCTTGTTTGTTGTTCCTTGTTATACTTCCATGAAATGGTTCTTAAGTCTAGACTTATCAGGTTTTGGTGCTTGGCCATAACACAGAATGTTTATGTTTGTACTATATATATATTGGTAAAACTTATTTGCAGAGTCCGCATGGCAGTATTGTATGTCAGGTAATTCACCTTGTTTTTTGCAATTATTATTGCAGAGGCACGCGGATTAAGACCCGCAAGCGGAACATTGCAGCTCCTTTGGACCCTGCATCATTCTCTGATGCAATTGTTCAGATTTATCTGGATAATGGTGGAGATCTGGTTAGGCCTTCTTTGGGTGTACCATTTGCATCTCATATGTTATTTCTGTTGTTGAGAGATATGCATTTAGATTTATGAAATATTCGTGTTGTGATATGCAGTTAGATTCCCTTAAAGCTTGATAAATCAAGTATGCTTTGCATGGTGTCGACATTTTTAGGTTACACATAACATATTTCATGAATCATGGGGCATCTCTAGCTTTACATGCGGGATTTGGAGTTTGTAGGATAAAAAGGAAAGTGGTTTAAGCATATATTCTTAATCAAAAAGAATAAAATTGGTTAACTAAATACCTTTAATTTGCCCACGGCCCCAGCTCCAAGAATTTGGAGCTAGTAATAACCGGCTCCAGAAGCTCTTGGAGCTGGAGCTGTGCCAAACAGTTCCTAGTACATGTGTTGTATGAGAGTAACAGCCAATCAGAAACTAAACCAACCAAAGACTCGATACTTCTTTCATTGATGCAATTTTTTTTTGCCATTCTCAATACTTTTGTTATCAGGAACTTGTCGCCAAAAGTATCGAGTCCTCAGACCTCAACTTCTCACGTTACGGTGACACCTTTTTCGAGGTACAGCCAGTGGAACAGTATATACCCTGAAATTCTCATTCGTTCTCATTGTGTTATTTTGTTGATTGTTTTAGTTTTTTTTACCCTTGTTGTAAGTTGCAAGCTTTTAATAGTGTTATTTGTGAACGGGCCTCTACCTTGGTTGGTTAGGTGGCTCTAGCACTCAGGTCCTGGGTTCAACTCCCCTTGGGAGCGAATTTCAGGTTGTGGTAAAAAAATTCCCCTTGTCTGTTCGACGCCAATGCCTCACAGGGCTACAGTGCCGCTGTGTATGGGTGGGGCAGGGGTTCGAGGTTTTTCTCGACCTGCGTGAGAAGGTCTTCCTTTTAGCAAAATGACACGGGCTGTCTTACTCCCTGCGGGTCAAGTTTTTTTTATTAGTGTCATTTTGCATTTGCTAGGGATGGAATTTCACTTCATTTATTTTGGGCTTTGTAAAGATATCTATCTGCATTTCAAGATTTGCACCTTGGTGCATGTATATTAACCAAATTGGATAGGGATTTCTATAATGTTATCTTTCCACATGGTGCCATCTGGGTATGGTCATGGATAGAGATTTTCTGCTAGCTGTTCCAAGTTGAAGTTGGATACATTTTTTTCCCCATTTGTTCATGTGAGGTATTTATGGAGATTTACAATTACAATCTAAGTTCTTGTTCATCACCATTTCTGCTAGTAATTTTAGAACTTTTTGACCTGGTGTCATGCACTAGACTGATGTATGTTTGCGAAAATATAGGTGGTTTTTGTTGGAGGGCGCACTCAGCCTGGCACTATAAAACCTGAAGAAGGAGACCGCCACCCTTATTCTGTGTTAGATTGTGCGGCACAGCGTGAAACAATTTTGCCTTTCGTACTCTATATCCAGAAAACATTGCGCAGGAAGCCTTTCTTAATAAAGAATCTTGAAAATGTTATGCGCAAATTCCTCCAATCTTTGGAGTTCTTTGAAGAAAATGAGAGAAAGAAACTCGCCATATTCACTGCCCTTGCATTTTCTCAGAAGCTATCAGGGCTTCCTCCTGAGACTATGTTCCAGCCACTGCTCAAGGATAATCTTGTCGCCAAAGGGATAGTACTTTCATTCATCACTGAGTTTTTCAAGGAGTACCTTAAGGAAAACAGCTTGGATGATTTGATTGCACTTTTGAAGAAGGGCAAAATGGAGGACAATCTGTTGGACTTCTTCCCATCAGCTAAGAGAACCTCTGAGGCTTTATCTGAGCATTTCAAGTAATATTCTTTCTCTTACTTTTTTCTATTTTGAAGCATGGAATTTGTTGTGTTGAATCTTTGGTTTCAGTTCCATTATGTCTTCATGTGTAACTTTGTAAAGCTATGAACTTTATTTTTCTTTTTGATAATATTCTTATTTGTGCATGGCCCTCAGCAAACAAGGTCTGACTAGCCTTGTTGAGTACAATGAAAAGAAGATGTTTGAAGTTAAACTTAAGGAGATAAAGTCAACACTGACCACCATGATCAATGATGAGGCTGCAATATCTGAAGTGTTTGAGACTGTCAAGCAGCAAGTTAAGGATGCTAAATTTCCTGATTTAGAGGTTATTCGCATGTTGTGGGATGTGCTCATGGAGGCTGTTCAGTGGTCTGGGAAGAACCAGCAACAAAATTCTAACGCAGCACTTCGGCAGGTAGTGTGTTTGTTTTCTTTGCAAGTCCAAGAGCTGGACATTGAATACCTAACATAAACTCTTGTTTGATGTATGACTTACTTGTTTTGGTACCTTAAACTTGATTTAACATGGTGTCTTGAGGTTATGAATATGAAACTTGAAAAATCTGATTTTTACTGAAGATACTTGTGGTGTTTGCTTAGTTAAGTTATGGTTTCATGAGGTTGTGTTATAACATTCTTTTACATTACATTTAAGTCTATGAGCATTGTGTTTTTAGTGTGAGTTGTGAGCTCAAACTGCACTAGCAGTAGAAACTGATACATTCCAAGTAAAAGGATTGGTAAATTCAAGAGGATTACAATGGCTGAATTCCATTTTTCTATGATGTGGGCAGTGGTACTTCAGGTCTTGTAAAATTAGTCAACCTTGCAATTTTCTAAAATTAGTCAACCTTGCAATTTTCTAGGACCTCTATTACTCTATCAAGATGCGTTCAATTTTTTTTTTTCCATTTGCACTCAGGTGAAAGCTTGGGCTGAGCTTTTGAATGCTTTTTGCACGAGTGGCAGACTTGAACTGGAACTTATATACAAAGTTCAGACGCAGTGCTATGAGGATGCTAAGCTGATGAAGCTGTTTCCTGAAATCATAAGAACACTGTACGACCAAGATGTCCTAGCTGAAGATACTGTCCTCCTTTGGTTCCGTAAAGGTTCAAACCCGAAGGGCAGGTAACAACATAAAACTCCTGCCCCTAAATGAGATGTAGCAATTAAGCTTGGGGGCATGGTATTTTCTGTCAGTTCCTAATGATTGTAACATAATGGCAGGCAATCTTTCGTGAAAGCTCTGGAGCCGTTTGTCAAATGGCTCGAGGAGGCTGAGGAGGAAGAATAAGTTCTGATTTGGAGTACGGCGGAATGCTGCCCTAAGTGTTATTTGTGGAGGAATTATGGTTGCTACTTGTTATTGCCGAGCTTGTTACTGCCGAGAACTTTATGTTTGGTGTTTAGCCACATGACTCTCGGCTGCTGAATGCTATAATATGTTGCTGTTAACATTGTTGTGGGGATTTGTTGAGACTTCTGTTATCGTTACTGAAATGATTTATAATGGGACGTCAATTTACTTTGGTGTTGAACAATTACTGGATTCTTCATACACTGCAGAATGCTACAAATTTGATTTCTTCCTAATGAGATATTGAGATGTTACGAATGTGACGACCGGGATGTCTGCCGTATTTTAGAGTAAGTAATGTTTTTGTTGTTACACTGTCTGGCCTATTGCCTATTGGCAAACCTGAAAGTGATAACAGTAAAAATGAAACAAAACAACAAAAAAATAATATAGAAGTGAGAATGAGTATTTAGGCTCGTTTCATTTTTAACGAATTGAGTAAATTCCTACCGCCGTCACCTACCCTAGCGTTGGTAACTGATTGGCTAAGGTACGGGCAGAGCATACATTCCTCACATCAAATTTTAGCCATACCCATAGTTAATGGGTAAGATTTTATAAGGTGCTGTTTGGTCCAAATTTGGGACGGTAATGTTGATGTAATCGTTTACCACTACAATCTGTTACATTGCAATACTTACCTTTTTTTTTTGTTTGGTTTCAGTGAAAGCGGGACAGAGCATACATTCGTTAGAGACATCAAATGTTAGCCATACGCATAATTAATGGGTAAGATTTTATAACCGAACTGGTGCTGTTTGGTCCAAATTTGGGACGATAATGTCAATGTAATCGTTTACCACTACAATCTGTTACATTGCAATACTTACATTTTTTTTTGTTTGGTTTCAGGTGAAAGCGGTCTCACAAAGAGTTGCGCATGTGGAGGCTGAAGCACGCAATGGATAACGTAATGCCAGAAAGTGGGCAGCATCGTCGTTTTAAAGGCAGGGTATCTGATACCACGTTAGTTGATTACATAGCAGCTGAACCAAACAATAAACAAAGTGATCAGGTGCCGCTGGTAACAGATAATAAGGTAAAACTTCTGAACCAAACACGCTCTTAGTTCACACAAAAACATAAGGACTCAAGAAGTGCATCACAATTCACACATTCATTTTCACAATCTCACTATATTTAGGTAGTCCTGCGGTGGAATTTTATACCCATACCTCACCCATCGGGTAAAAAACGTGCAAATACATCCACTAGTCCCATTGCATCGCGACCTATCCATGTAATGTCGAAAGAGGTACCAAACATTATTGTCTGAGTGTAAAGGACGAGAACAAGAATGGAGAACTGAGCATCAAACATAGGGTAGCTTAAATCCTCAGATTAGTGCCATGATAGTCCGATTAACCCCCTGATCGATTCTCCTAATCAACCAGGGGCTCGGGGGGCTACACCCATCGGGTGTGCTCATGTGCACCCTCCTCCCCACTAATGAATGGCTTGATGGGTCTGAAAAGGCCTACTGCGGGAAGAGGCCTCAACGCTTAGGAAATGAGCCAGAAGAGTAAGTCTTCACACCGATCACTTACACCCGAGGGCTCGGCCAGACCAAAATGGTTCCTGACCTTAAGAGGCGGCAGCTGACCAAGGGCCGCCGTGTGCGCCTTGGCGTTACTCGAGCTACACTCCACGTTGAAAGACCGTAGTTTGGTTTTGGCAATTGAGTGACAACTTAGGAAGACTAATATGTGTTTATGTTGAGATACATAGGTAATTAGCCACATGTACACTAGTGTGAGCAACATGTGCCATGGTGGTGAAATGACTTGGAGTTGTTGCAACGCTCAACTAGTGTGATTTAGGAGCTCATTGCATATGAGACATGACATGGTGTCATGTGGTTAGGTGAAGAAGATCAAGAGGCATGGCTTGGCTATAAAGGACCGTAAAGGGCAAGTCAGAGGCTTGGGTGCGATGGACCGTGTGGCGATGAAGCTAGAGCAAGGACTTGGTGCCGATGGATTGGGTGCAACGGTGAAGAGCAAGTGAAGTTACGATCGAGGAACCAATAAGGTCACGTGATGATATGAAGTGGATTAGATCAAGCCAATTGTTGATTTGTGTTGATTCACTACTATAGATCAAGCGATCACCATCGCCATTATCGCTGTCGTTTATTACATAAGCGGCGGTGATGTAGTTCCACCGCCGGTTCGATCGATAGTGGGGCCTGGAAAAGAATCAAACCAGCGGATGAAACTTCTAGCACCGACGACGGTTGAACGATACGACGGTGCTATTGGGGTTGCATTTCTCCGTCGTATGGAACGCCGAGCTGACTGAGATACGCGTTATGGTCGCCAGCCCTAAACGACCATTTGTTTTACCAGGGGTAAAATTAGTGTGAGTGTTGATGTCCCAACTTCCAAAACCGTCCCCTCACCATTACTTCCACCGGATGTAGCCGAAGAGCCGTACCCACTACTCTACATATTCTTTAAGCCCATTGCCCTCTGAAACCACCCCTTGTTCATCTCATTCTTCCAACTACAACAATGTCGGGTAACCCCTTCTAGCTTCCCAGCAAGCACTCGTCCTCTGAGGAGCACAAGTGGCCGTTGCAACGCTCCACCTCCGACGACGCCTCCGACGACCGGAAGGTCTCCTGACCAGAGTCCTCCATGGAGCTCCCAGGAGGAGGAGGACAAGGCGACGATGAGGAGGAGGATGAGGAAGACTTCGATGACGATGATGACGACGACGACGCGCCTCCTCCCAAGCAAAGCGAAACGAGCATGATCTTCTCGCTCTGATAGAGAGGATCAAATTTAAATTTAGTAGGTTTAATAGTTTAGGTTAATTATGTTTTTGGACGAGTACAATCATATACTTGTCTAAATGGTATCTTTTTGTTATAATGAATTAATGAAAAAAATCTATTTCGACGAATGTTTATTTCTTTTGATGTATATGAATGAAAAGAAACTGTCTTCTACTCGATAAAAAAACTCAGAATCTATTTATTCATGGACAGATGGAGTATGTTTCTTTTGTGTATATGAATGAAAATAAATTGTCTTCTACTTGACAAAAAACTATCATGATCCTCTCGCTCTGATAGAGAGGATCATTTTTAGATTCAGTAGTTTAGATTTTGTAGGTTTAATAGTTTAGGTTCAATAGTTTAGATGTAGTACTTTCCAGATGAGTACAATCATATACTGGTACAAATTGTATCTAGTATGTGTTATATTGAATTAGTAGAAAAAATCTATTCTGATCAATGGTTATTTCTTTTACCCACAGAGGGAGTATGTTTACTCGTCCAAACTTTCTTGTACTCGACAAATAAACTATCATGTAGGGTTGCAACGGTTGTTTCTAGGAGAATCTAATAGTACTTAGTTGTTCAACCGCTGACAATCACCATATTATACAGATGTCTTAGCGTGGCAATGGTCGGCTTAATACAGACATTGTTTAACTTATTCCGTGTCTTTCGTTCTTGGCGTCGATCAATCTGGACCGTCCATTTTGTAACAAACCTAGAATCGTTTGACCCGTTCCCCAACTCCCCTCGGCCCCGATCAGCGCCTTGGCGGCGGATCGTCCCACAAAAAAACCCCATCCGAAGCGCTTAATTAGTTCTCCTCACCCAGTGGTTCTCCTTCATTCCAAGGCCATCATTTCTTCACCTGTACTACATCGGTTGCCCTGCCTCGTACACCTTACATTGTCGTCCTAGACAACGACCAGTGAAGGTTAGACAAATTCGGTTCCCCCTTGTTTCCATTTGATTCAATTGATTTTGGGTTGCGTATCAGTTTTGTTCATATTAGTAATTTCTTCATTACAACAGATGTATTACTTCGGATGAAGCCATTTCTAGGCTTGCCTTTTTGCAACTAGAGGTGGCACCAGGAGCCCAGTAGTTGTTGTTTGCTACTTAGGGCTATCGTATTCATCAAGAGCGAGGGTTGAATGTTCTAGCTAATGTTCGTCACCTTCTCAGACCATAAAATTTCACAAGAATGGTTGAAGACCCTATTTGTGGAGAGATTTTTGTGCTTTGCAAGACTACACAGGAAGCACCCATGCTTTATAGATACAATGTGGATTTCGACGAAGATGCTGCAGTTCACTACCTCTGGGTTTCTAGACCACATCAACCAATTGAGTACCTTAGCGACTGCCTACGCATCCCACATTAATTCCTAGAATTTGGAAACTTTTATGTTAATGAAGTTTATATGTACTCCCCGAACTTGAGACGCCCCCATGTCGTCCTCTCTGAGCCACATGGGTGGCGCCGCCGCCACCTAGGCTAGGCCGGCCAGACCACCCCACCTCCTCCCATTGCCGTCGCTGGAGCGGCCTGCCAAAATCTCGGCGTCCGTGAGGAAGGTGACGGCGAGGCATCTTCATCTTCTTCCTCGCCACCTCGTTTTCCCCCACCTCTACTTCTAGGTTCCATCCGTTAGTCCGCACGTGGGCATTAGCTTGCGACAGTTCTAGGGCTGCCATGGCTGCATCCGGTGCTAGGCATGTGGATCCACCTGGTGGCTAGTGTCGGCGACCATCCTCTTCCTCTCTTGACCTTGGTTTTTCATGGCGCAAGGATGGCCGGCAACAGGCTCCATACGTCAGATCCGGATCCCCTGGGCCTGGATTCGACACCCCTAGTCCCGGATCCAGCACGTGGCGGGCGAGATGCGACAGCCAGTGACCTGCTAGAGGAGCGGTGTGCGGGTTCCGGATGCTGGCGGACCCAGAATGGGGCGGACCCGGCTTTAGCTACTTGCGGCACAGCGGTTGCCCTTAGCAAGACGCTAACGACATGCTCAGCAGTCCGATGCAAACGACTTCCTCAACATCCGACAGCAGGTCGGGCTCGACGGTGGTTGGCTAGGCGGCACGCGCCTACAACCAGTCCTTCCCTGTGTGTAGGAGCTATTGGCCGAGGCGCCTATGCTAGGCTG